TTCCCAAAGTGTTGCAGATTAGTCCCTCGAAATAATCTTTGAAAACAGTTTTGTGTCTAAATATGATTTGCAAACCCAGCATAATAGATCCCTATCTTGGAAACTCAGAAGGTGTGTCAACATAAGGGCTCTGGGAAGCTCAGCCTTAAAGGAAGATGTTTAACTTGGTTAGTCCACAGTTTCCCAAAGTCATTTGGCCACCTTTATACTCTCTGGTAATAGAACAAACTTCTTCCCTAAAGTTCACCCCATCCTGCAAAGGTCTCCACAATCTGGCTTCACCTTGTTTCTAACGTTACAGCCCAGAACTCCCTGGCAGGAGTTAAACTTGCCTACGTACTGTCTCCTTACCATGTATTTTTGTTTATGATAGCTTTATTAAGATCTCATTCATAGAACACACAATTCACCCATTTACAGTGTATAATTCTATGGTTTTTAGTACATTTGCTGAGTTGTGCATCCATCAGCACAACCAATTTTAGAACAATTCATCGCCCCTACAACCACCCCACCAAAAAACATACCCCTCAGAAATCAATCTCCATTTTGCCTCAACCTCCAGCCCTAGGCAACTATGAATCTACTTTCTGTCTCTATAGATTTACGTATTCTGGACACTTTATAGAAATGGAATCAGAAAACATGTGGTCTTTTGTATCTGGCTTGATTTAGTATGTTTTCAAGGTTCATCAATGTAGTAGCATGTATCGGTTCTCTGTTCATTTTTATGGCCAGTCATATTCCATTGTATGAATAGTTCACATTTGGTTTATCCATTCATCAGGTGATGAACATTTAAGTTGTTTTCATCTTTTGGCTATTCTGAGTAACACTGCTAAGAATATGTGTAAGTAAGTTTTTGTGTAAATATGTGTTTTCTGGCCGGACGTGGTAGCTCACGCCTATAATCCCAGCACTTTGGGAGGCTGAGGCAGGTGAATCACCTGAGGTCAGGAGTTTGAGGCAAACCTAGTCAAATTGGCAAAATCCTGTTTCTACTCAAAATACAAAAATTAGCTGGGTGTGGTGGCAGGTGCCTGTAATTCTAGCTACTCGGGAGGCTGAGGCAGGAGAATAGCTTGAACCTGGGAGGCAGAGGTTGCCGTAAATGAAGATCTCGCCATTATGCTCCAGCCTGCATGATAAGAGTAAACTCCGTCTCAAAAAAAAAAAAAAAAAAAAGTTTTCCTTTCTCTTGGGTGCATACCTAACAATGGAACTGCTGGGTCATAGGGGGATTTTTGTTTTCAAAAAACCATCAGACTATTTGCCACAGCGCTTGCACCCATTTACATTCCCACTAGCAGCGTGTGAGAATTCTAACTTCTCCACATCCTTGCCAACACCTGTTATCATATCTTTGCTTGTGGCCATCCTAGTGGGTGTAAGGTAGTCTCTTGTGATTTTGTGATGCCTTCTGATGCCCTGCTTCCTAGGTTATGGTCCATTACTCCACCCACCTAGAGGCCGCCTCCTCACTCTATGCATCCCACCAATTCATCAAGACCCAGCTAAAATCCTAGTTTTCTTGGGCTATCTGTGACATCAAGTCTCCAAACTCACTTTAAATGACACTGTGGGACAGTTTCTATTTATACTTCCTGCAGTTACAGGCTTCTAGACCTACGTACATCTTCTCTCTCCCACCAGACAGTGAGCCCCTTAAGAAGCAGAGTGAGGTCTTGCATTTCCTAGTGGCCAATACTGAGCCTATCAAAAAACTGATACTTCATAAACATTTACTGATAATGATTTGATGGAGAACCTGAGGCTGGAGTTGAGGAAGGTAAAAATGAGGAAGTGGGCTTTCTGGGTCTCAGACGGGAAAGCAGGAGTAGGAAGCATAGAGCTAAGCAGTAGAGGTCAGCCCCTTCCCCACAGGATTCTCATACAGAGGACAGAATTCATGAAAATGATGTGTCATAGGATTTTAACACTCCCTTTTTCTTCACTGTGAATCTGCATTCATCCTCAAGCCCAGACTTGGAGAAGAGGACAGGGATAGGGACAGTGAACCAATCCTCTTCTCTTACTGGTATCTCTTCTAACTTTCTTCTAGCACTAGCAGTGCTCTCCTGGAACTCTTGGCGGGGGCGTGGGGGGAATAAAGATCTACACTTAGCCCTCCATGCTCTCACAGAGTCTCACCACACACTTAAAGCATCAAGAGTCTCTGTGTGAGCCACATCAAGAAAGAAAATCCAGTCCCTGGTAAACCAAAAAAAAGAATCACTAAGTCCAAGGTCACGTGAGTTGTAGTCTCCAAAGACTGAAAACTATTAACTTTAGTGTCTTACACCTCTCATTTCACCCAGCTTAGGAAAGCTCAAATTCAAAGTACATTGTGCTAGCCTATGGCTACTTGAACCACATAATTATTTCAGTGACTACAGATGAGTCAGAAAAAGCACAACAGACACTTGACAAGTACCATTGAATGAATGTGTTCTAGTATTTGAAACTGATAAAGAAGGCCCACACAGGAAATACAGTAAAAACTTGTCCTGCATCTAACCAATGGCTCAACAGATTCTGCTAGGGCTTCCAATGTACCTCTCAGATCAATAACAGAAACCCTGAACTGCTGACAACAGAACTAATTCAAAAATACCTCCTGGCAAGGCATAGTGGCTCACACCTGTAATCCCAGCACTTTGAGAGGCCGAGGTGGGTTAATTACCTGAGGTCAAGAGTTCGAGACCAGCCTGGCCAACATGGTAAAACCCTGTCTCTACTAAAAATACAAATATTAGCCAGGTCTGGTGGCGAGCACCTATAATCCCAGTTACTCGAGAGGCTGAGGCAGGAGAATCACCTGAACCTGGAGGCTGGAGGTTACAGTGAGCCGAGATCGCGCTACTTCATTCCAGCCTGGCTGAAAGAGTGAAACTCTAACTCAAAAAAAAAAAAAAAAAAGCTCTTCCCTGTGGCCACATGTGCTGATCTTCCTATTTCAAACGCATGTTCATGTGAAACAATTGCACAAGAACTTCAGCAAAATTATTTGGCTACACCCTGAGACCCAGTGGGTAAAACAAGTATAAACCTTAAATCCTTAAAGAAAACCTTAAGGAAGCAATCCCAGTTCAGCCTTAACATCCAAACTCTCTACTGTCAAATTCATTACCCTCGGGCAAGACAGTATTACCACTATCACCCCCAACTCCCACACATCCCCTTCCCCATAATGAGTGCAAAGGTCCCAAGCAAGTGAAATAACCCAAGTGCAGAGTAACCATGGACCCAGCTTCAGGCATGGCAGGGAAGAAAAGAGGAATCTTGTCAAAAGGGTCTGCAGGGTGGATAAAGCTAGAAGATTCCACAGGGTGGAAGGCTGGAAGATTCTCAAACCTACAGGGGTCCACAAGCAGCTTTGATGAAGAATAGAAACTTCTGACACACCTAAGTGCAATGGCTAAGAGAATGGGATGAAAGCAACCAAATGTGAAGGCCAGCCATGACAGGACAAGTCTTAACTGTCAGAGCTGTCGGCATGGTACAACATGGTGAGAACCAAACACCCACCTTCTCTTTCAGAACATAAAGAAACCATCTTCCAAAGGAGGACAGAGTCTCGCTATTCTCACATGAAGTGCATGTAGACTCACTCAGCTGAAAAGATTTTTCCAAAGCACAGAATCTGTTCAGTCCCCAGGCCTCCCTCCTCTGTGCCATACCCATGGCCTCCAATAGAAAGTCACGCACGGCTGCACACTGTGCAACACGCTAATGCTCATTCTTCTCTCCACACAATCTTCTCCTGAACCACACACCACTGGGTAGGAGGTGCACATCAGTGAGTTGTCTAAGCTAAGGAACTCCTGGTTGAGCCCTGATAGCTGATTAATATAGTATATGGTCTTTCTTTTGGCATGAGAGAAAAGTCAAAGATTGCAATAATTTTAGCTCCACACTCAGGAGAAATAAAACAGTTACAGATCATTCTGTGTATTAGATTTTTCAGCTCTTCAATCAGTGCTTATTTTGAATACATCACTGAGTATTATAATGAAGCAGACCTTTATATACTGATCTCTACAGCCAGCAATAAAGCACCATAAATCTGCAAGGAAGCCCATAAAACAGTCTTCCCTCGTGGAAACTTTCACTGGGATGAAAATGATATCCTGAAATCCACTGAAGCACAGATCACCTAGAATGGGATTCTCCTCCCCCCAAAACCACTAACGCCTTATACCAAATTAATCTAAATAGCTTTACTTCTCCAAAAAGACTTTGCTTTGCATGTTTCCGGCTCCATAAGATGTTCTCTAGAGGTGACAAGAAAAATTTGGCTGAAAGAATCTATCATTTTAGCATTAACTGAGACCTGCATTTCCCCCAAAACACTGATAAAGCTATCTTTCCCTACTTTATGCTGAAGTTACAGCCCATCGCCCAACCTATTTTCTGATGAAACAGATCTGCTGTTTTTCAGAGTGAAAAGAATAACAGCAATAAGGAGGAGGTATATTTAAATGTATACACAGAGCTCCACTTCCAGGCTAAAAACCCCACACTGCTATGCACAGCTGCCAATTTGAAACTTCAATTTCTGCCCCCAAGTGTTTAGCATCTCAAGAAGTTGTCAAGGAGTCCTGGTTTCTTCAAAAGGGAGTCTTCAGTGAGACTATCTGTAGATCAGGCTGGGGTAAGTGAATGAAGATGCTATCAAATGAATTATATGATTCCATGAAGGGAGGAAAGGGGCCAAAAGGAAGTCAAAGAGAGATGAAATGCAAGGGATTTATTCCACTGCTCAAAAATAATAAAATAAAATAAGTTTAAAGAGTCACGGCTCTCCAAGTCTAGATTCAAGTTCACTGGAATAAGATAAAGACATGAGGAAATTAAGAAAAGAACTTGGGCTGCTTTATTTCTAAGATGTTTCCTCAATCCCAGTCTCACCACCTCACCGTGAGTGTCAGAGGAAGGTAAAAACTCCCCTTTTGCCGGCTGACTACCCAGGAGGACTTCTGGGCTGAGGACAGCCTCACCTGGCCATCTGCTTGTAGGCTTCTTCTGCCACAGCAAAGATGTGGGGGTCCATGTCTCCCATATTTTGGCCACTGTAGGCATAGATGACATCTTGTCCATAGATTGGCAACTGTTCATAAGGATTAATGGCAACAAGCACGATACCTGCAAACAGACGAGATGGTCAGAGTCAGACAGCACAGCAGCCACTTGGCACCAGCTCAAGGCACCCACCCATGTATACACACACCAAAAATCAAAAAACGAGAGGGCAGCAGAACCCGTCTTAACCATCAATCTGCTCAATCAAGGCTCATCTGTGTGCTTCAGGTCTCCAAATACCTTACAGCCTGGAATAAGTGCGCACACACACACACACACACACACACACACACACAAATGCTTAAAAAAACTGAATTCATAAAATAGACATGTGCAAGGTGTTCCAGGGTCAGAGAGAAGAGGACATTTAATTCTACCTGCATATATTAGAGAGACTTAAAAATCCATCTCAGAACTAAAATCTGGGAAAGGGATTATACATTTTCTTATTTGTACATTGGTTATCTTAACTAAAGCACAATGACATGTGGACGGTGAATACAATGTACATATCTTGAGATCTAACCTTAGCTCAGCCAATTACTATGTAATTTTTGGCAATTAACTTCTCAGTACCTCAGTTTCCTCAACTATTATATAAAATGGATATAACAACTGCATTTATCTGGGACATCCTAAGGAAAAATGATGAACTGAGCAAGGAAAAAAGCCAGGCACAGTGGCTCATGCTTGTAAGCCCAGCACTTTCGAATGCTGAGGCAGGAGGATCACTTGAGGCCAGGAGATCGACACCAGACTGGTTAACACAGTGAAACCTCCTTTCTACAAAAAACTAATTAGTTGGGCATGGTGGCATGGGCCTGTAGTCCCAGCCACTCAAGGAGGCTAAGATGAGAGGATCCCTTGAGCCCCGGAGTTTAAGGTTGCAGTGAGCTTTGATGGCGTTACTGTACTCCAGCCTGGGTGACAGTTTTTGGTTAAAAGAACAAAAAGAGAACACTTAAGACCAGTGCCTTGTATGATAAGCACTGCGTGTTTGCTATTTTTACTATTATACTTTAATTTCTGTGGTACATGTACAGAACGTGCAGGATTGTTACATAGGTATATACATGCCATGGTTGTTTGCTGCATCCATCACCCCATGATCTACATTAGATATTTCTCCTAGTGCTATCCCTCCCCTGGCCCCCACCACCACCTCCCTGCTGTCCTTCTCTTAGCCCCTCACTTCCTGACAGGTCCCGGTGTGTGATGTTCCCCTCCCTGTGTCCATGTGTTCTCATTGTTCAACTCCCACTTATGAGTGAGAACATTCAGTGTTTGGTTTTCTGTTCTTGTGTCAGTTTGCTGAGAATGATGGTTTCCAGCTTCATCCATGTCCCTACAAAGGACATGAACTCGTCCTTTTTTATGGCTGCGTAGTAGTCTATGGTGTATAAGTGCCACATTTTGTTTATCCAGTCTATCACTGATGGGCATTTGGGTTCCAAGTCTTTGCTATTGTGAACAGAGCCACAATAGACATATGTGTACATGTGTCTTTATAACAGAATGATTTATAATCCTTTGGGTATATACCCAGTAATAGGATTGCTGGGCCAAATGTTATACCACATCTCATCTTTTTTTCCCTTACATCTTGTGTCCCCTAAAGAATGCATTGCAATGATTGAGTCAGTAAATGTGTGTTGACTGAGCAATCAGGAAATACTATAAGGTTCAGGTAATCTTTTATGGATGGATGAGGCAGTTTGATATTGGAGCTTGTAGAAAGAAAAAAGTGTGAATTTGATCTTTCAGATGAAACAGAAACATGCCCTTTTCTTTCCCATAAGATCACATTCTAGATGTCAGAAGACCCACTGATACAAAAACCAGAAACGTTTCCAATCACGTGGGGAGGAGAAGGCAATGAAAAGGCGGCTGCTCAGATGGAAGTCTCCTACACCGTGCTCCATTCTGGCGTTTGAAGAGAGACGCTGGGAACGTGCAGTGTAATAAACCAGATTATTCCACGTAAAGGGGAAAGGACCAGGGGAGAAAAAGACACTCAAGTCTTCTTGACAGAAGTTTGCCTGAAAAGACCAAAATATAAGGCCCAGAACCCTGATAAATTCCACTAAAGCGGCTAATCACTTGGAGAATCCTCTTAGGAACAGCCTCACATGTTCTGCTAGTTAATGCAGTTCTGTAAGATTCTAAACCATGTGGCATGCAATTCAAATTTCCATACCATACCCTGAGGTCATGTTTTCTTTAAACATCCTGGCCCCTCCAGAGCAGAATCTAGTGCTTCCTGGGTGACTCAGACTTCTGGGCCACACAGTCACTCTCAGCAGCTTGAACTAGAGGAGTCAAGATGCATTTGGATAATTATCTACAGACACCAGGACATCGTTCGTAGAGGGGATTCCTTTAAAAACAGAAGCTGATGGTCCCTTATCTTTTTCTCCTAAAATGGGAGTCAAATTTTAAAAGTCTTCTTATTGAAATAAACATCTTATTAAAGGCTCTGATAATTGACAGTTTGTTTCAAATAAAACTCCCACCAGCAGTTGGAATGAAGGAGCTTTTGGGAAACCACAGTTCTCAAGCACCGAAATCAACCTGCTATTTATAGCTCCTGAAATCTGGAAGAAAAGCTCACCCTAGCGTAGTAGTTAAACTACCAATTCCAAACCAAAGTGGAATATAAAAGTGAAAAATCCCCAGAGCTCCTGCGGTGTCACTTATGACAATGAGCAAGACCAGAGGGGACACGCCAGGTGTTTCCTCCCAGGACAAGACCACAAAGGAGCAATTCCCACAAAGGAGCCTGGCAGCTGAATCCCCGACCAAATCCTCAATTTGCCTCTCAAACAATGGTTCATAGGGTTCTATTTTTGCTATGCCACTTAGCAATATTCTTTTAAAAAGAAAGAGAGATCAGAATTTGAGATATAGGAAAGGAGAAGTTTTAAGAAAATCAAATTAATTTCAGGATTTAAGTATGTTAATGAATTTTGCTAATTTGACAAATATTCATCGGGTGTTATGTCTGTACAAACAGAGGCAAGTGGGAAGATCACAGAAAAGCAGGCTTTTCAAGCAGAAAACGAAACAAGGGATTGGTGCCGAGAGCAGGCACCCAGCTCAGACACGGTGCTGTACTTACTGCTCTCCCAGGACTCCCAGGACTGAGCTAAGCCAGTCATACCACATGGTGTGACCCGTTTCTTCCCTGGTTGATCCATGATTAACACCAATCATCCCGCAGAGACTGGGGCAGCCTAATTAAGCCACATTTACTGATTGCAAACCTTTCAAGGGCCTCAGAGGAGAGGTACTTACAAATGAGAGAGCGAAATGAGGACTCCTAAGCGTTTGAGTTGAACAAGTCTAAAGCTGGTAAGCACTTTCTAACACATGCAACCAACAGATGCCCCCCACTTACCACAGTAAGTGTAGATATGGTTGGACTCCAGGAAACGGACCTTCAAATTATGCAAAACCGCAGGTTCATGAAGATAGCTAAGGGCAGTCAGGTCATTTTCTCCCACCAAGATATCTGGATTCCGTAAGAAGGGCAGCTGGTTGTGCTGTACGTCAATTGGGTATTCCAGAATCTAAAGACAAGCAAGTAGCAGACACAAAAAGGCAGTTATGAAGTGTTAGGTCTGTATTCAACGTTTTGTCTTCTTAGCTGGAATCACCATCTTAACATGATAGTAAGTGATGAAGATAAATAATGCTTTAAAGAAAGACAAGCTGAACAAAATACCTGTGTTCCCGTGAGAGACCAGCCCAGACGGAAAATTTGCTGATAACATAACCCCACGATATTAAGGTAGATGACTGAAACACACAGCTCAGAAAACATAACCAGGTTTAAGAGAGTTTTCTATTGCTTAAGGGAAAAATAATAAGTCTTTAATTTCAGTTGCAATTGGAGTGCTGTTCTTTCTTCCATCTAGAAAAACTTCCTCGATTGGCCCCATTTATTGCTCATGCTTCACACGCTCTCTGCCGTTAACCAACACACTCCACTTTTATTTGGATCACCTTGTATCTGATGAACTGCCCTCTGTAAGCAGACTCAAATGAACCATTTGTGCAGATATTTCTCCCTAACCTAACTGTAAGCTCTTCTAAAGCAGTAATTGTGCTTTCATAAAAGTATATTAGGAGTCTGAGATGTATATGCATTATCAGGGAGTAGGAGTCTACATTTTAAGGTCAAATAGGTCAAATCTCAGATGTGAGGTGTTACCCTTGTATTCTTAGCACTTGGACAACATTAAGTACTCAAAAATGTTCACTGGATACATTTGTAACTCTCAGTGCATGTATGTACACATGTACATCTGCACACATAATTTATAAGAAGGTAATGGGGATGTTTTTAAACAAACAGGAGAAACTTGGCTGCTGCTCACCCTGTTTTATCTGAGTGCTAAGATACTTATGGTATTCTTAAAAATCTTCTGGAACACTTATAAAAACTTTCCTGAGCCCAACTTACTCATCAGGAAATCTGAGGCAGGGTTCAGGAATCTGAAATTTAAAATACATTCCCCAGTAATTCTGATACAGGTGGCTTTTAGATCATATTTTAATAATTTGTTTTACATAAACCTTTTAGAAAATTCTATGGAAAAAGACTCAACTTACTGGGGTAACAGTCAATTTTTAATATAAATATCAATGTTCCTCCCACCTCATTTTTAGAGGGACCTGGTTATCAAATCTTAAGGTATATTAATAAACCCAGCAATGAAAGTGCTAAGATAGGCAGATAAATGAAGTGTAGTAGATTCAGAAATAAACACAAGCACATAGAGAAAATCTGTTTGTGATAATTTTAAATTGCAAATAAAAGGTTAAAAGGAACTTTTCAAGTAGTATTGTTAAGTAAATTACATAGCCATTTAGGGAAAGAAAATTGGGCCAGTATTCTTATTCTATCTTACCAAAATAAGTTTAGGTAGAACAAACATAAGAAACCAAAAATTAAAAAAATCAATTTTAAAACTGGGTAAATATTTGTGTAAGTTTTGGAAGGAAGAAGTTTTGAAGAATGATGCAAAAGCCAAAACCGTTTAGGAAAATATTCATAAATTTGACTATAATTTAAAACTTTAAACCTATCATAAAACATACCATTTGCAAAGTTAAATGAGAAAAGGGAAAGGGGACAGGGATTCTACATTATATGATGAAATTCCTAATCTTAATATACAAAATGTTACAAGAAATCCAAAAGAAAACCAACACCCCAACAGAAAATTGTACCTAGAATACATATCATAAAATAACACATGAACAGATGAAAATCGATTCAACTTAATCAGTAACCAAAGAGATGCAAGTAAAAGATTATCAGCACTCTTATCAGACTGACAAGGCCCTAAGAAGGAAGAGGGTGAACAAACCGGTCCACCACTTGGTGGGGCAGACTGGTTTACCCTCTCTAGAGAGCAGCAGGCAACACCTAACTCAGAATTTTTCATCAATGAACTCTTCCTTGGTCTCATGAAATGATTTCACAAGTGAGCAAAGATATGAACAGTGAAAGAAAAACCTATATGGACAGTCAGGCAGCTACCCACACCATTCTCCTGAATTAAAAAAAGAAGTTTGCAATAGGAATGAAGTTTGTAAGAGGATTCCCTTTATTTAAAACTATATGAAAGCCTAGACTGATGTTTGTGCAAAATATCATTGGTTATCTCTGTTAATGGGATTTCCTTTGTCCAGTTTCCTGTTTTTCCTTTTTCTATTAATGAAGGCACTTTTTGTGAAAAGGTCTTTTATTTAAACTTTGTCCATACAGGAAACTAGTGAACAATTAACTATCATGTAGACAACGTAGAAAAATTTCTGAAAGGTGGGAACAAGGGGAAGTGGAGAATGTCCAAGGGCTGATTTTTATTTCATTCTAGAGTTGGCAGCCTCCTTCATCCACTGTTAGTGATATCACCAGGATTCTAATCGGACCTCCTTCCCCACAAATCATCCCAAAGGCACCTTGGTGGAGATGTCCGCAGACCTGAGGGAGCACAGCTGCCCTCCTCTCCTGGGCTCTGCACCCAGCTCAGGAGGCAGCATGGGGACCGTCAGTTGCAGAGCCACAGAGCTCATCTTGCCCTCATCCAGCCACTCCTCTTTCAGATTAGAAAGCCGGGACCTGAGCCCAACGGCTTCAGCTCCTGAGGCAGAAATGCTGGCCTCCTCTCAATTCTCAGATGAATCTCTTTGACTCTCCTCCAAAGAATATAAACTAGTATAACCACTATGGAAAATGGTGTCTAGATTCCTTAAAGAACTAAAAGCAGAACTACCATTTGATCCAGCAATACCACTACGGTGTATCTACCCAGAGGAAGAGAAGTCATTATATGAAAAAGATTCTTGCTCACACACGTTTATAGCAGCACAATTCCCAAATGCAAAAATGTGAAACCAACCCAAATGACTATCAGTCAACGAGTGGATAAAGAAATTGCGATGTGTGTATATATAATGGAATACTACTCAGCCATAAAAAGGAATGAATTAATGGCATTAGCAGCAACTCGGATTGGACTGGAGATTATTCTAAGTAACTCAGGAATGGAAAACCAAACATCGTACCTTCTCACTCGTAAGTGGGAGATAAGCTATGAGGATGCAAAGGCATAAAAATGATAGAATGGACTTTGGGGACTCAGAGAGAAAAGGGTGAGGAATAAGAGACTACAAATTGGGTTCAGTGTATACTGAGAGATGGGTGTATCCGAATCTCACAATTCACTGCTAAAGAACTTATTCATCTAACCAAATACCACCTGTTCCCCAAAAACTTATGGAAATAAAAAATTAAAAGAAAAAGACTCTCCCCAAAGCAGGTTGAAGCAAACATATGCAGTTTTGTGAAAACTATTGACAAACCAGGTGGTATTGGTTTCAGTAAAACTGATAAGGAGTAAAAATGTCCAGAGCAGCAAAAAAGGGGTGGGGGGGTGCTGTAAGCTCAGCAGCCAAAGCTGTGGATTCTTGGGCATGTGGACATCCAGAGGGAAGGCAGAAGTGAGAGACTTGAGAACAGATTTTTTTTCATATAACAGGAATTTGATTCTAATACTGCTGCTGGTATCTGGCATTTACAGCTAATACAGTTTTATTTGACATCTAAGTGGTTATGACCGTGATGGGGGGCCATGAACTTTCCGGCACAAAAGATTCCATCCACTCCATAATAACTGGGCCTTTAGAGGTGAAAAGGAGGCTAAATGTTAACACTCATCACAAAGTTAATGCTTAGTTACCACTTAGGGTGGCCCTTGGCTCCTTTCTGCAACTAGGAGCCGGGAATCAGGAACAGATAGAGGTTCCAAGTTGGTCCATGCCTGACAAGCAGGACTAGATCAGTGAGAGTGGCAGGAGGCCTAGGGAAGGAACTGGTCTACCCCTGAGCTCCCCAGTAGGGTATCCCCTATCCCCATGTGGCTATTTCAGTGAAATTAATACAATTAAATTCAACTGAAACCCCAGTTTCTCAGTCACACTAGCCACTGTTAATACAAAGTGATTGAGACAGGTCTCAATAAACAGAAGTTTGTTTAGCCAAGGCTGAGGATGCAGACAGGGAAAAATACCATACAGGAACATCTGCAGCCTATGCTTTGTCCAAGAGGGTTTGGGAAATTCAGTATTTAAAGTGGAGAGAGCAAGCAGGAGGGGAAAAAGGAGGGAGAGGGAGGGTGGGCAGTGAGACAAATGGTTACATTCTTGTCAGGCTCTGATTAGCCTCAGTAAATCCATATTTTACATGTGAAAAGAGGGAGAAGATGAAAAAGTTCATTGTGCATTTATCTCAGGGCAGGCAGAGGGATGATTTCTGGTCTTGTCCTTGTCCTGTACCTATGAAGATAAGCTAGTAATTGACATTGTCATGTGAGAGTCAACAGAACTCAGTTTTGTAGGCCTAGTTTATAGGAGCGATATGTACCCTGGAAGATTTAGGGACTCAAGAAATTTCCTTGTAAGCAATTTGTGAGGGAAGCCACCTGGGGAGATAATGTGGTCTTCTATCATTGTGGGAACAAGGCTTACATATGAGGCTGTGACACAGAGTTGCAAAATTATAGCTGTTTGGATAGCAGTATTATGTGACTCAGTTCCAAAGCTTAACTTTCCCTTTGGCACAGTGAGTTTTGGGTACTGAGAGTTTTTCTTTTTGAGACAGAGTCTTGCTCTATTGCCCAGGGTGGAGTGCAGTGGCATGATCTTGATTTACTACAACCTCCGCCTCCTGAGCTCAAGCGATTCTCCTGCCTCAGCCTCCTGAGTAGCTGGGACTACAGGTACGCACCACCATACCTGGCTAATTTTTGTATTTTTGGTAGAGACAGGGTTTCACCATGTTGCCCAGGCTGGTCTCGAACTCCTGAGCTCAGGTGATCCACTCGCCTCAGCCTCCTGAAGTGCTAAGATTACAGGTGTGAGCCACCACGATCCTGGCCTCCAAGAGTTTATTTTCTTTCACATCATATTTTAAGGGTCCAGTAACTACATGTAACTAATGACTTCCACATTACACAAGTGAGATACAGAACATTGTGCCTCAGCCAATGTTCTGTTGGAA